AGTGGTTGACACAAGTAACAGGTATCAATTTACATGCAGGCACAACTGCTTTCTTTCATTTTATCAGCTAAAGGGTTTACGAGCTCAAGAAATCTTCCGGTAGCACTTGGTGAAGTTTTAACCTGCCCAGCAGTTTTAGTTATTAGGTTTGCTGAGCTAGTTCTTGGCATGTGTTGAGCAAAGTCGCGGACATGAACTCTCTCGGGTCACGAGAGAATATTTTTTATGAGCTTGTAGTTGTGTTTATCTGAAAATACAAACAACGCTGATCGTTTTAGCTAATCCCTTTCGAGCGTTATTTTTATTCTGTCGAATACAACTCATAAGAAATCGTCTTTCAGTCCAAAAACACATCGTTTGATTTGTTGCTCCTGCTGATTTATCACGTTTGGCGGCTTGTTTTCAGAGAATCGCATCAGTTTGCAAGTCATTTATCTGAATCGCAAGCTGTCTCGGATTTTGCACTGGAGAAGTCAATAAAGGAGCAGCGCGAATATTTGCCAGTTTTTGCGGTGAGACAAAAAATGCTGAACGTAATCCGGGATAACAGTGTGGTAATCATTGTTGGCGAAACCGGTAGTGGCAAAACAACCCAGTTGGCGCAGTATTTGCTCGAAGAAGGCTATAGTGAGTTGGTTTGCTAGTTCAGTGTTTGTGCATGGTGTCAGTGCAGTCAATGATCAGAACTGCCGCGTGTTCGCTCTGTATCAGAAGCTAAGGCAGTGGCAGTTGCTATAATTCGGTTCGGCTTTTTATGAGGGCTCTTTCGAGGATTGGTTAGAAGCAGGCCAATTCTAATCCCGTATTGATTTGATCTAATTCTTTTTCCTCCTATGGCTGTCTTACAGTCTGCCAATCATCTAAATGTTCACAGTTTTCTTCCTGTTTCACTTATACTTGAATAATCAGAGTTTAGTTTTAATTTTTCGGTCTAGTAAAGCTGTTTAACCATTGAAGCGCTTGCACCTACTTCAGGTCATAATGGATTAATTGGTTGTACACAGCCTCGGCGTGTAGCAGCTATGTCAGTTGCGAAACGAGTATCTGAAGAGATGGGTGTCGAACTGGGCCAAGAATGTGGCTACGCTATCCGATTTGAAGATTGCACGTCGGAGAATACACGAATAAAGTACATGACCGATGGTATTCTTCTCAGAGAATGTCTGGGCGATCCAGACTTAGATCAGTATGCAGCGATTATTATGGATGAAGCACACGAGCGGTAAAATTGTTTATATTTGCTTTTTGATTAAGTTAACGACTAAAACTCCTCGTCTTCATCCACTTTTTATTTTGAGAAGTGTAGACAGTCTCCCGGAAATAATGCAGGTGGTGACATGTGCCATCAGCAGTCGTCTTTTTCTTCAGAGAGTTGCTCAGAAGCGAGCTGCTGGTAATCCCTTTCGTGTGCTAGTACGGATCATAAAGGAACTAATGCTAATTCTCGACTTTGGCACTTGAGCAGCCACACTTGCAACTGCGCCGCATTTGCCAGTTTTTAATTAATAAATTTTATTCACAAACACCTTAGTAGTATTAAAGTTGGCCGAACGATCATGGAGGATGACATGCCAGTTCTTTGTATCTGTTTTTGGGAATAGTTGAGAGGGATCGACTTGCCTCTCGGTCAGTTAATAAATCATTTTGTCTTATATATTATTATAATTTGTAGCCGTCTCGATCAGTTCTCCTAACTGATAAGGTAGCTGAAAATGGCACTGTTCAAAGACAGGTTCTGCGCGCT